TGCAATTGGTGGATTTCTACAAGTATACATGTATGTCCTCCACAGTAAACTCCTGAACACCCAATTGTGGAATTCTCATAAGCGGCATTGTGTCATTTTCTTCCGAATTGGTTTCCGAAAAATGTAAGATTGCGATTCAAAGTTAGCAGGGGGTTTAGGTTTTTATGGTAGGTTTCGGGGTGAAATTTTGTGGAGGTTAGGTTAGGAATTGCAGTAGGAATGGTTAGGGCGGTATTGTGGGATTTTTTTTTTTTTTTGAATTTTAGATTGGGATAAGTAAGATAAAAACCTTAAAATTTAGAATCCTAAAAAGTATAGGGTTTGTCGGGTTCTAATACCAAATGATCTAGGCTCCTAAACAGTGTTTGGGAAGTGGGTCTGAAAGGGATGGGGTGGAGGATGGGTAGGGGATGAGATTTTGTGCTATCGGTGATATTTGCAGAGGGATAGTCAATGTTAGATGGATGTGCTGACTGAAAAAAAGCAAGGAAATCACGAAACACTGGCACAGGGGCGCCAGCTGAAATTACGGCGTGGATAATGGAGGGATGGCTAACCGGAACCGATAAAAGCAACGAACTGGCTACGAGTTGGACGATGAAGGAGGCCTCCGAGCGTTTGGGAGAGATCACCACCTCAATCTTATCACGTTACAGACAGTGTGTTTGAAAGAAATCTAAGGATACAACACTCCAATAGAGATAACCAGGAGAAAACATCTTCAAAATACAAAAACCAAGCCAAAAAGTCTTCTCAACAACAAAATAATAACATATATACATAGCTTTTCCACAAAAAAATCTAATTAGAACTTACGAATGAAAGAAATTTAAAAAAATAAGCTGAAATATGAAAAAATATTGGGCAAATCGTTTGTCAATTTCGCGATTGCGGGATCTCTGTAACTGCATGATAGCAGAAGCTGGCTTATGGAACTCCCATGTTCGTAATAGGTTTGTGTCCCGCGTCACTTCGACAATCATATAATTGTATTAGTATAATTTTAAATATATGTTCTTTCAAAATGTAACTATTGATTCCTTGTCAGGCTTGATCTAATTGAGAAAATTACTCAATCAACCTTTGTATATAATGAGGAGAACCCCCAAGTGAGGGCTGACAATTTATGCAAGCAAATCTTCTCATATGCATGCAATACAAATGCCGCGAGATACTTCTAAATTATAATCAGTTTGAGTCATATGCATGAATAACAGCATCATGGACCAAATGTTCTTAAATTTTTATTCCTTATTTTTCCAAATAGTAAACACCTCAATGAGCATGCAACACGTATTAATGGAGTAAAAAGCTAATGATGATGCTCATTATTTATGTGAGAGGATATTTATGTAACTTTTATTCACAAGCAATAGAATATCAGAGAAGCTTATTATTTCTGGCATGTTATACTTTCTTATGAGATAAGTCTATATTGCAATTAACCTGAATTATTTATGGCCTGAAGCATTATGTAGCAAATACATACACTTGTTTTAATTGTCAGAATGACTAAAGTTGCCATTAATGTCAGCAGTATAAGTTTCTAATAATAATAGAAAGATTTACGTACATACCACTCAACTCGTTTGTATTTATATATATAACATCTATACTTCAATTTGCTACAAATATCCCCTCTTCCCTGTTTATGCATAGGTGTTTTCACTTTTAAATAGTGGAATAAAGGTATAAAAGCAAAGTTTAGGTCTTAGATATGTAAATACATAAGAATTGGACGGTATGTGTGTAAATGCTCCATAAATACATTAGTAAAATCATAATTTTCAATGTTAGTTTCTGAACTCTGCAATTAGAACTGATTAATATTCATCTTTTAATGCTAAAATAAGATTAATAAATGCATACCTGTATTTTGTGGAAGTCTGTTAAATCTTAATCTTAGGGTGAGCATATATCCATCTTTAGGAGTTTCAACAACTTCTGCAAAATTAAGTAAAGTCCTTCCGATTTCTGTTAAGGTGGATTTAGGTAATCCATGTTGAAGCATGACTTCTGGTGTTAGTGATAACATGGATATGGACAAGTATATGATAGAGGGATTTGAAGCTGAAGCCTGCAAAACTCTTAAATTGTCAGCATTTCAGTAAAATAGCTGATTTCCTGTTTATATAGTTTACATTCATGCAACTCAATTCTGATGTATTTACATATCTTACAGCTACTTCAATTTCTGCATTCATGCCATCCTACCGATGCATGAAAATGTATATTTTATTTTTAAAAAATTAAAATGATGGTATTATTATTGTGATATGAAAGATTTGGGTGTTATGAATGTAGAAAGAAAATTTAGGGAGGTAGATATGTAAATATATAGGAATTGGGTGTTACGTAAGTAAATGCCCTTTTTTCTTTCTGGATTATGCCTGAATCTGTATGAGCAAAACTGAAAAAGTATACATCGATTTTTCATATTGAAATGTGAAATAAATGATTAGATTGTATGTAATGTAAGCTTTGATGGGACATTTATATACATACCTCCCAATTTCTATGTATTTACATATCCAACAATTAAATTTTACTTTCTACATTTATACCACCCAAATCTTTCATGTCACATCAGAAATAACCCCATTTGAATTACATAGGACTTGAGTGGTATATATGTAAATCTTCTTTTCTTTAATTTTTTGCACTGAGCTGCTTGTATTGCCTTGTGAAATGCCTGATAATAGAAGTAGAACTTGCAGGAGGATACCTGAATGTTGTAGTGAACTGATCCAAATTCATACAGGTGGTGATCAATGTCCCCTAGTATTTCCATGCTAAAATAAAGAAAGGTGATTTTAGAAATTGTATAGTTAACATCAAGCATAAATAATTTATAGCTATTGAAATCAACATTCATCCATGCATGCATGCATGCATGCATACATCCATACAGACATACATACAAAGTTAAATTAGTGATATGTTTTAGTTGATATAATAGATTTGGGTGTTATAAATGTCTAAAGCAAAGTTTAGGTTTTAGCTATGTAAATGCATAGGAAATGGGTGGTATGTATGTAAATGCCCCTTAAAACTACTAAAAAATCAAGAATATAGAGATAACGTGAAATGAAGTGTGAAAATGAGTCATCGACAAGCATGCCGTACTCCCAAGAAGAAGCTATGAGTGCCAATGATAGGAACGTGAAAAATATTGAAGAACTAATGCAAAGAGAAGAATGAGCATGGAAGACGAATAAGCGACGACGGCTCGATAACTATGAAAAACAATGAGAAGTAAATGATTTTTATTAAATTTATAACTGCAATTTCTAGCTGTTATTACTCATCATTAGCTTTTATTTCCTCATTATGTATTTTCTTTTTTTTTTTTGTTGTGTCTATTCTAATCGGGTTTAAATACCCATCCTTCTATCAATAATATTATGCTGCTTTATTCCAAATCCTGATTGTATTCTAACAATTTTGTTCAATTATCATAACATATATTGAACCAAACAAGACGTAGTTGCCTAACACTAAGCTAACTCTACTACACGAGGAAAGTGAACTTATGTTGAGGATAATTCATGTTTCTATGGATTGTGTCCTATGTTTTAGAGTTATGTGATTTGTTTTTGTCCTTAGAGGAGAAAATATTATGTCAGGTAAAGCGAACCGGACGTGCAGTCAATGACAGGCATTGCACTACACTGTCGGACGCACGTCGACACAATACGTGTAGTCTTCCGGATGTCCAGACAGCAGGCTTAATATTTTCTCCCCCAGAGATGAAACAAGTTTATTATTTTTCTATTGACATATCCTTTCGCTTGTAAAAATCCAATTTTGGAAACTTTTTTTGAAGCGAAGTTCTTACCTTTGTAGTTTTTTCAGAATCTCCTTCAAGGCAGGGGATGCCTTGCTGAAACATGCCATCTTCTTGGAGTCCTCCGAATAACTCATGGAGATCATAGCATTCAAATTTATACAGGTTTGAACATCACTGCCAGCTTAGTTTCTGAAATGAAGGCAATAGAAAGTTAGGTCAGGTTCTTGCAGTAAAGTAAGCTTTACATACATTCCACTCAATTCTTATGTATTTACATATCTACCATCTAAACTTTTACATATATGCCCCTTTATCTATATATGAAAATGTATATTTTACTGTTTAAAAGTCAAAATAGTGATATTTTTGATGTGATATGAAACATTTGGGTGGTATAAATGTAAAAAAGTAAAGTTTAGGTGTTGAATATGTAAATTCATAGGAATTGGGTGGAAATGTGTATAAATGTCCCATCAAAGCTTACATTATATGCAATCTAATCATTAATTCACATTTCAATATAAAAATCCCATGTATACTATTCCAGTTTTGCTTATACAGATTCATTCAGGCATAATCCAGAAAGAAAAAAAAGGCATTTAAATGCATACCACCCCATTCCTATATATTTACATATCTAATCCCTAAACTTCAATTCTTACATATATGCAGGGCGGTTAAAAAAGCTCGTTGTTCGCGAACAATTCTTGTTTGGTTCGACAATGAGTTCCTGTTCAATTTGTTCGATAAGTAAATGAGACGAACGTGAACAAATTTTTTTTGTTCGGTTAGTTAAAAGAATCGAACACGAACAGCGATGCGTTCGTCGTGTTCGAATTGTTATTATTCAAAATATAAAATAATTTAATACATACATACAAAGTTAAATTAGTGATATATTTTAGTTGATATAATAGATCTGGGTGATATAAATGTCTAAAGCAAAGTTTAGGTGTTAGCTATGTAAATGCTTAGGGAATGGGTGGTATGTATGTAAATGCCCCTTAAAACTACTAAAAAATCAAGAATATAGAGATAACGTGAAATGAAGTGTGAAAATGAGTCATCGACAAGCATGCCGTACTCCCAAGAAGAAGCTATGAGTGCCAATGATAGGAACGTGAAAAATATTGAAGAACTAATGCAAAGAGAAGAATGAGCATGGAAGACGAATAAGCGACGACGGCTCGATAACTATGAAAAACAATGAGAAGTAAATGATTTTTATTAAATTTATAACTGCAATTTCTAGCTGTTATTACTCATCATTAGCTTTTATTTCCTCATTATGTATTTTCTTTTTTTTTTTTGTTGTGTCTATTCTAATCGGGTTTAAATACCCATCCTTCTATCAATAATATTATGCTGCTTTATTCCAAATCCTGATTGTATTCTAACAATTTTGTTCAATTATCATAACATATATTGAACCAAACAAGACGTAGTTGTCTAACACTAAGCTAACTCTACTACACGAGGAAAGTGAACTTATGTTGAGGATAATTCATGTTTCTATGGATTGTGTCCTATGTTTTAGAGTTATGTGATTTGTTTTTGTCCTTAGAGGAGAAAATATTATGTCAGGTAAACCGGACGTGCAGTCAATGACAGGCATTGCACTACACTGCCGGACGCACGGCGACGCAATACATGTAGTCTTCCGCACGTCCAGACAGCAGGCTTAATATTTTCTCCCCTCAGAGATGAAGCATGTTTATTATTTTTCTATCGACATATCCTTTCGCTCGTAAAAATCCAATTTTGGAAACTATTTTTGAAGCGAAGTTCTTACCTTTGTAGTTTTTTCAGAATCTCCTTCAAGGCAGGGGATGCCTTGCTGAAACATGCCATCTTCTTGGAGTCCTCCGAATAACTCATGGAGATCATAGCATTCAAATTTATACAGGTTTGAACATCACTGCCAGCTTAGTTTCTGAAATGAAGGCAATAGAAAGTTAGGTCAGGTTCTTGCAGTAAAGTAAGCTTTACATACATTCCACTCAATTCTTATGTATTTACATATCTACCATCTAAACTTTTACATATATGCCCCTTTATCTATATATGAAAATGTATATTTTACTGTTTAAAAGTCAAAATAGTGATATTTTTGATGTGATATGAAACATTTGGGTGGTATAAATGTAAAAAAGTAAAGTTTAGGTGTTGAATATGTAAATTCATAGGAATTGGGTGGAAATGTGTATAAATGTCCCATCAAAGCTTACATTATATGCAATCTAATCATTAATTCACATTTCAATATAAAAAACCAATGTATAGTATTCCAGTTTTGCTTATACAGATTCAGGCCTAATCCTGAAAGAAAAAAGGGCATTTACATGCATACCACCCCATTCCTATATATTTACATATCTGATCCCTAAACTTCAATTCTTACATATATGTAGGGCTGTCAAAAAAGCTCGTTGTTCGCAAACAATTCGTGTTCGGTTCATCAATGAGTTCGTGTTCGATTCGTGTGATACGTAGACGGGACGAACGTGAATAAATTTTTTTTCGTTCGGTTAGTTAAACGAACCGAACACGAAGAATGATATTTTCATTCGTGTTCGTATTGTTATTGTTCAAAATATAAAATAATTATAAATAAAAAATTTATGATATTTAAAAAATTAAATTTTATAAATTATAATATATAATAAATTAATAATAATAATATATTAATATACCATATTAGTAATATACTAATATAGATATTATATATTTATATAATATAAGTCATATAACTAATATAATATATTATGTCTATATATTAATATTAGGGATGTCAAACTGGCTCGTCGTTCGTGAACAGCTCGTGGTGACTGCACGATCAATTTCAAAAACGAGCTTATTTCAAACAAACTAAATTTCAAACATACCGAACACGAACACAAGCTCTGGTAACGAACCGAACACAAACACAAGCTCTGTTCGTTCGTGTTCGGTTCGTTTACACCTATGCCAACTTACCTATGCATGAAAATGTGTATTTCACTGTTTAAAAGTTAAAATAGTTATATTTTTTTTGTGATATGAAAGATTTGGATGGCATAAACGTAAAAAGTTAAGTTTAGGTGTTAGATATGTAAATACATAAGAATTAGTTGGTATGTATGTAAATGACTTCTAGGAAAACTATCTCAATCAGTGATCTCTGCTTTGTTTTAAAATTACTCCACCATGATTATAACTGGTTGGTGGAACACCTACTGCCAGTGAGAAAAATATGATAATGAGAGCTGCTTCAGTGACATTTTTGTGAGAAGGTAAAACTTATAAGCTTGATGTAATTGTTAAAGTGGACATATGAGAAAGAAGGCTTAATTTATTTTGTTTTGTGCTTGGGTTATAATTAGAAGATATTTTTTAAAAGAACTTGCAAAAGTAACATTTGATGCTTAATCCAACCATTTCTTGGTAACCGGGCCTCAAATTCTTACCAATGCTCCCACCATTAATAACCCTGCGTCTTGGTTGACATCTATGGTATAAGATTCCTCAGATTGGGGGTTAGACATATTAGGGGTGGTTGGAGACTCTTATATGGCTGCGCCTAAACACTCGAGTACCACCCCTATATAGCATTAGTCACCTGGGGGATTCAAACCCCAGTCGTGAAAGGACTTGCACCGCCGAAATAGATGCTCTATCAATTGAGCTGGGAACTCGGGTAATATATATATATTATACTTTGATACATACAAATCAAAACCGTAATATTATTTAAAATTATCACAGTATCAATTTTTATAAAGTAAATATTTATGCATAAGTTTATGATATCAATGATTGGAAATATTAAAATTTAGGAATTAGATATATGTAAATATATAAGTATTATGTGGTATGTATGTAAATTTATCATAAATGATTTATTTTCTCTTAATCTTTTTATCATTGAAAGAAAACCTGGGGGCAAACGATAAAATGATCCTTAGAGCTATCCCTAGACGCCCAACAACGACGGAACCCGGCCCCCAATCCGCCGCCCCGCCTACCCGCCTCCCCGCCGGCCTCGAGACGCGCTATCTCCTTGCTCGCCTTCACTAAACCTCGCTTTCCTCTGAGGTAATATGAATTCCGACAGAGGACACTATTCTGTCTCCTAAATCTGAAGCCTCTGCAGACTCTCACCACTCCAAACCCCCCAAGGTACTCTCTCTCTACTCCAGAAGTTGTGTGCATTAATGGTGGACGTGGGTAAATACCTAATAGGTTTAATGTTTCCCGATGTAGTGCGGTTTGTGCTCACGATTTTGTTAAGCCAAGTTTCTTCTCAGGCTTCTATCGCCATTTTTTTTGGGGGTGTTAGAATGAATTAGTGTTTAATTTCATTGTTGTTTTATTAAGGGAGGCATAGGTTTACTGTGCCATTACCTTTTTTCTGCTTTTTTTTCTTGTTAACCTTTTCCTTTAAGATGTTATTATTTTCCGTGGATGATCCAGTAGTTTGCTCATTTGGGGAGAACATGAACAAGTGCATGCTACGTTGCTGTGATTTATATTAGATTCTCTTATGATTTTGTGAGGTGAGAGAATTGCCTTTGCCTATGATTTAACAGAAAAACTGAGAAATTTGACGGGTAGGATAGAGAATATATGTTTCACAAAAACAATAGGGATTTTTACATATCAATAACCTGAAACTTTAAATATAATTGATTCACCACCCAAACTTTAAATGAAGATTTATATTCATACCACTCAATTCCTTTGTATTTACATATCTAATACCCAAACTTTATTTTTTAAATACATGCCACCTTATCTATGCATGAAAAGGTTTATTTCATTCTTAAAAAGTTAAAATGGTGCTATTTTTAATGTGTTATGAAAGAATTTGGTGTTATGCATGTAAAATAGTTAAGTATAGGTGTTAGATATGTACATACATAGGAATTGGTGATATGTATGTAAATACATAACTAATTATATTAAAGTATACTAGCTATTCTATGTTATGCGAAAGCAGTGCAGAAACGTAGAGATTTACACAACAAAAATCAAACACGAAAGATTTACGTGGTTCAGCGTTAAGTTGATTCGCTTACGTTCATGGGGAGGGAAACTTCACTTGCACCGAATGGGAGAAAGAAAAAAGCTAGAGGTTGCAACTCACATTTCTCACCATATATCTCTCATAAGTTCTAAGTCACTTTTATAGAGGAGAACTAGGGTATACAAGTAAATAAAACCAAAAGATAAGATTACCCTCAATTACAATAAAAGCCATAAATACAACAATTTTCACCTCATCTCTTACTTATAGATAATTGAGAGATGACCAAATGAGCTTCAAACTCCAATTCAGCTGCACCAAGATGGTTTTCTACGTACCCCCCTCCCGAAAGGATTATGCCTCGCGTAATTCTTCAAAATGTCCGACTAGACAATTAGACCTGAGCTCGAATGTTCATAAACTCCTGCAGCAGGTAGATTTCTGTACTGGTAGTGCCTTTGTGAGCATGTCAGCTGGATTCTTTTTCATATTTATTTTCTTTAATATAACATTGTCATCATCAATCAAGTCCCAAACACAATGATACCTCACATCAATTTGTTTAGTACTAACATGATGAACTGAATTTGTGGTCAGGAATATTGCACTTTGACTATTACAGCACACTGTCAGAGACACCTGATCAACTCCCATGTCATCCAATATGTCTTGCATCAATATTGCTTCCTTCTTTGCTCCGTGATTGTTATGCACTCACTTTTTGTAGTAGACAAAACACAATAGACTAAAGAACTTCTGATTGGATGTCTATCAATGTGAATTATTAGTCAGTCTCAAATCTCCATCTATCCATATCAATTGCATATTCTGAATCAATGTAGCATACACATAAATCTGCAATAGATGACTGGCTGTTAAATACCAAGCCAACATCAACTGTACCCTTTAGATATTTCAAAATACTCTCCAGAGTCTGCCAATGTTTTATTTCTGTATCATGCATGAACCTGCTCAGAACACTCATTATTATGAACTGATCAAATTTTTTATAACATTACCGTAATGACTGCTTCAATCTATACGAAGTCTTGTCTAATTTGTAAACTAAGCCTTTTGATTCTCTATATCCAGGCAGCTGTAGCATGTAGATCTCCTCTTGTGATTTCCTGTGTATAAATGCAGTCTTCATATTGAGTTGTTCCAAGATCAGACCGTATTGTGCTACAAGTGCTAATAGAGCATGGATTGAGGGATGCTTGATCATTGGAGAGAACACTTTGTCATAATCAATTTTTTCTCATTCCCAAAGCCTTCTTTCGCTAATCTTGTCTTGTACCGAATATTAGCTCCATGAGATTCTTTCTTCTTTACATACTCATTTGCACCCAATGGCTTTACTTTCCCGATGAAGCTTCACCAACCTCCAAGTATCATTTTTCCAAAGAGACTCCATCTCTTAATGCATTGTTGTTCTCCAAAGTTCACTTTCTGGCTCTCCATCGCTTCTTTGTAGTGACAAGGAATTTCCGTCTCTGTGATTGAAAGTGCAAATGCAATGTGATCTCTCAACAAAGCTGGTTTTGGGAAATTCTGGCGTTTGGTTTTGCTCCTATCAATAGATTCCTGAGTAGGAATCTCATCCTCAACATCTTCCACTTTCTGCTCAAGAATCTCATCCTTAACATCTTCCACCTTCTGCTCAAGAATCTCATCCTCAACATCTTCTTTTGCCTCTTCCTGAGCACTATCAACATACTCCTAAGCTGTAGCTGCAATCAAATATCTGAGTCAGAGCAGACGAACTTTGTGGAACAAATGGAGTTGCATCAAACTATAGCTTCTGCTACATATTTGTGCTCCCAAGAGGACTCTTCACCTACTTTAAGTCCCGATTTTTTAACAAGCTTGCCTCGTGGATTGTAACATTCCTTCTACAGCTTGAAACCCTTAATTCCACGCTTGAAGCCAATGAAGATCGCTTTATTTGCTTGTGGTTCCAGTTTATTATTCTACACGTGGTAGTAAACTGGACACGTATACACTCATGTGCTCATAATCTCTAGCATGATGCCCTAACTATATTTCCTTTTGGATCTTCTCCTCAATAGCTACAGAAGACAGACAATTCACTAAGTGGCATGCATATTTTATGGCATCGACCCAATAAATTCTATCCAATACCGCATTAGATAACATAAATTGAACTTTCTCTATCAAAGTTCTGTTCATCCTCTCTGTCACACCGTTCTGCTGTGTTGTCTCTCGAACAGTGAAGTGATACTCTATCCCGCTCTCTGACACTCTTGCAAGAACACATTCAAAATATATTCTCCCTATTGTCTGATCTGATACACCAAGTTTTTTTATTAGTGTGAGTCTCAATCCACTGCTTCTAAGTTATGAAAATCTCATGCAATTCGCTTTGGCACTTAATGGTCTACACTCAAACATAAATGGAGTGATCATCAATAAAATAGACAACATCTCCACCCGTTGAATGATGCTATCTTCGTCGGGCCCCAAAGGTCTATGTGAGCGTACTCTAAGGTTTATTTTGTACTATGGATGACAATACCAAAAGATATTCATGTCTTCTTACCAATCACATAATGTTTACAAAAATCTAGCTTACATGTGCTCACTTCTTTGATCAATCATTTCGTCACCTAAGCCTGAAGTGAAGCTTCTGGCATGAGCTAGTCGCATATGCTACAACATAGCGGCCTCAGATGCATTATCAACAACAATAGCAGTTCTAATCATTATACTATCTTGAAGATAGTAAAGATTGTGATGATGAACTCTTTTCATAAAAATCTTTGCTCCATGACATATCCTTAGAACCTTTGTCTCAATAATTACTTTGTAGCCCTTAGACTCTTTAAAGCCCAAACTGACACTAAATTCTTTATGGTATCTAGAATATGTTTAACATCGCTCAGCTACCACACAATACCATCATGTATTCGAATAAAGATATTTTCCACACCAATAGTACAATAAGCTTGGTCATTGGTCATAGTCACTGCACCACTATCCAACTCCTTGTTCATACAAAACCATTTTTGAGGAGGACAAATGTGATATGTAGCACTTGTATGCAGAATGCGACACGAATTAGCTGTAAATAAGCTGTGCGAAACTGCAAATAACGATATAGCTGAATCTGCCTCTTCACATCTTTCCGCACTGATATTGGTTTTCACCCAAGATGCAACTTTCTTTTCTCTTCCCATTCAGTTTCAGATAATATTTCTTCTAATGACCAGACTCTAAACACAAAGCACGCTGATTTTTCCGAAGATTGTGCTCACGAGGCTTGCCCTGCTTTTAAGAAGTGTTGCCACAGTCATCTTTCTTTGCCAAATTTTCTTCTTTTTTTCAGATCCGCCACTTTGGAGTGTAAGTGCATCAGCTGATTTCATCTTTGCAGACTTTTTGTCTCTTCGACAGAACACATGATTCAACAACATCATAGTCACTTCACCATAACTCAAGATCCCCTTCCCATGAATGAGTGTCATAGTGAAATTTTCATACTTATCTGGGAGCGAATTCAATAGTAAGAATGCCTTGTCTTCATTTTAGACCTCTACATTCAAATTTAACAGATTTGCTAACAAGTTTGTGAAGTCATTCAAGTGTTCTTAAATAGTAACCCCATCTAAAATCTATAAATTCAACGCTTTATATGGAGACAGTTCTCCATGCTTTTCGTGAGATATTTGTTCTCCAACACTCTCCACAATTTTCCTGTAGAAGTCTCCATCATCACCCCGTATTTGATCTCCTAGGTCAAGGAATTTTGGATCAAACCATAAACACCCCGTTTTATCTTCAACTAATCTCTCTCTGACATCTCTTCAGGACATTCCTTGCTATCCAGGATTTCTTCTAGATTCAAAGAATACAACGAAACCATCACCTCACATCGCCACATGTCAAAGTTTCATTTGTCGTGAAATTTCATTACATCAATTTTGTCAGGATGCATAACTATCCGATGAATCGACTTTTCCACTCTTATAGTGGACGTTGATGAACCTGATATCGTGTTATGGTTCATTTCTGGCATTGTTGGAATCTTTTTCCTAAAAAAAAATTCATATATCAGTATATCCTTTTCTCCTCAATCCACGTGAATCCACTGGTGCTTTCCTTTTTCCACGCGAACTTTCGCCGAACCCCGCCAGAAAGTGCCACCGGACTGTCTGACCGTCGGAATCGCTGCCGCTATCCCTCCTCGAGCAATGCGCCGAACCTTCATGTCCAAGCCACCAGCCTGCCGACGTTCTGCTGCCAAACCTTGGAATCCACTAACAAAGTACTCCATCTTCTCTAAAAACTCCAGCAACGCACATTAGATTTGTTGCTATCAACGCCGAACGACGCTCCAATCACGAACCCAAAGCTCTGATACCAATTGTTTTGCGAAAAATAATGTGGAAGAGTAGAAATTTACACAAAAATAATCAAACACAAAAAATTTACGTGGTTCAGTGTTAAGTTGATTCGTGTACATCCACGGGGATGGAGATTTCACTAGTATCGGATGGGAGAAAGAAAAACAGTTAGGGGTTACTACTCACACTTTTCAGCTTATATCTTTCATAAGTCCAAAGTTCTTTTTATAGAGAAGGACTAGGGCATAAGTAAATTAAGCTAAAAGACAAAACTACTCATAATTACAATAAAAGCAATAAATGCAACAGTCTACACCACCTGCATTATCTGATGCTACTTGGTAAAATAAGTAAAATTTTATAACTGAATGCTTTTTTGTTTTGTCTTTATTGGTGTCTCTAGTCTCTTTTTTTTTCTCGTGCAACTTTGAAATTTTGTTGTTGATGGATGCTCCTTTAGATGGCTTATTTACAGCAACTCATTTGGTAAGAATTCCATGTATGCAATGTTCTTAATCAGCACAAGTTTAAGTTGCGCTGTTATTCACAGAGAACTTCACATTAAGGGTATTTGTTTTTTGTTCTCTTTTATCTCAAGTGTTCGGTCCTGCTTTGATAATCTCTGTTATTTATATATGATAAGATTTAGGAATTTTTACCTTTCGTAAGTGTGTAATTTACATACTTTTGATCTCTAATTGCTTCTCTAAAATGGTTATCTGAGTTCTTCTAGTGACATAGATCTTCTAACTTTCAGGTTTTCAAGAGAATTTCTACATCACTGAAAACAATTTTTGTGTGGTTGCTAAAGTTTGTATGGTTATAAACCTGTTTTAGTGTTTGCGAAGTTATCCCTGCTTTGTATTCATTTTTCTTGTTGAAGGCTTCATCTTGAGACGGTAGTGTATGGGTTTTTCATACCAGTAAAATGGGAAGGAAAGATACAAGTAAAGAGAGATCTCGGAGAAATCCTGATGAAGGCACCTCAGCACGGACTAGGGCTTTCAGCTTTGACGAGATTATGTCGAGGAGAAACAAGAAACTAAACTCAAATACTTGTGAAAAAACCAGCAAAATGCAGGGCTCTTTTGAAAATGTTATTAATACCTTTGATCAGACAAGCGATGATGACCGTCACCCAATTAGGAGTGTTTCGAAGGACTTTGTGAAAGAGAGATTCAGAAGGGAAGAATCAAATTCGAAAAGGGAGAGAGATGTCAAAGAAAGAAAAAATGAGAAGGTGAAATCCATCCATGGTAAAATCATTAGAAACAAAGACAGCACGGATGAAAAGTACAGCCGCCATTCATCTAAAAGTGTCAAGTTGCTCACCACTGAATCTGAGAAGGCTTCGGGAAAGAAAAGAGTCAAAGATTTTGAGGAGAATGATAAGTATGATGAGCATTATAATAATTCTAAGAGGGATAGAAAAAATGAATATTATGATGACTATCATAGTGATGATAAGGGTAGGTATGAAAATGATGCCAAGAAATATAAGAAGCGAGAGTCTAGCAAATTGCAGGATCCAAAGTATTCAGAAAAAGAAAGTCATAAAAAATACAGACTTGAACCTCTCTATGAAGATTCTAGATTGAGAAGAAGATCAAGGAGCTTGGAGTATGATCGAGATGGAGAAATGTATGGTTCTCCATCACATTTGCCACGAAAACATGCCTACATCCGAAATGATCAAGGAGAGTCCCGTAACCACAATTTAAAGAAAAAACATTCAGATGGTGATCGATACAAAACTTCAGGTGATGGTGGCTATTATAGCGGACATCACCGGAAACATAGAAGTGGACTTGGTGGCTACTCACCCAGGAAGAGAAAAACTGAGTCGGCTGTTAAAACTCCATCCCCAACAATTCGATCTCCGGAGAGGAAAATTGCTACATGGGATCAGCTTCCCTCAGGAACGAACGTCACTAATACTGTATCCATTTTTACGAGTTTCCCTCTGACTGCTAATAAAGTTGTTGATGGTGAATCAGCTGTTGTCGTTACCCCAGCAACAACCAAAAAAAACCCTGCAACTTCAATTGACTCTGTATCTGTGGTGACAAATTTGTCAATCGACTCAGTTCAACTCACCCAAGCAACCCGTCCTTTGAGGAGGCTTTATATCGAAAACTTACCTTCTTCTGCCTCAGAAAAATCAGTTATTGATTGCCTCAATGAGTATTTGGTGTCACCTGGTACTAATTCTATAAGAACAACTAGACCATGCATTAGTTGTATTGTATGTATCAAATTTCCTACATTTGGAGTTGATTTATCTCTACGTGTATTTTGATTCTAAGAGTGCTTATTTACTGTTTTTTTTTTCAGATAAATAAAGATAAAGCTCAGGGTCTCGTTGAATTTCTTACACCAGAGGATGCTACTGCAGCTCTTTCTTTTGATGGCAACTCCTTTGCCGGATCGGTTCTCAAGTTGAGACGTCCTAAAGATTTTGTTGAAGCAGCAGTAAGATTCCATGCGTGCATAACCTTGATTTTGTTCTTATTTATTTATTTATTTATTTCTGAATCGGCCAAAACCAATTAATTTGTGCTATGTTTTCTATTTTTTTGATATGATTGAGTAGAATATTTTGTTGGAAATTTCTTAAAAGAAGTGACTCAAGGCATCACTTTTCAGCATCCTTCACTTTATTATATAAATCTACATGTACCTGTTAATTAAAATTGAAAACTCTAAGTTTGTTTTCATTTTGCGTTCTCCCCTTAACCTTTTATTCTGATTAAGTTTAAATTATTTTTTATTTTTTCAAGTACTTGAACATTTATATTATTATATAGTTCTCATTATCTTTAGTTAACGCAGTAACATTTAGGATGTCAACTTTGCCTTACTCTAGTAAGCTCGCATGTTTTTTTTTATCCAGTGCATGCATTGAATTGGAAATTAATGGTTGTTATCATTGGGAAGAATCCTGAAGGAAGCAAAGAAAACATAACTTTTATTGTAAAAGTTTAAGATTTGGGTTCTTCTTCGAGTCAAAGAATTTGTGAATGAACTTCACAGTAAGGCTGTAGTAGATTTAAAAGGGGCATTTACATACATAGCACACAATTATTATGATTTACATATCTCACACCTAGAACTCAAATTTTTAATATCACATTAAAAAAATAGCACTATTACCACTTTTAAAGGTGATTCACACTTTGTCATGCATAGGTTTAAAGCACCAAAGTGCTATGTATGTAAATATGAAAGTTTAGGTGTGAGTATGTAAATAAATAAGAATTGTGAATAAGAATTGTGTGCTATGTGTACGTAAATTTTCCTATTTAAAAACAAATAAATTAAAAAGCATTCTTATATGATTGGTTTGGAACGTCTTAAGCTTTAATTCACTTGTAATTCAATTTTTTCACAAGCTTGGTTGACAAATGTATCAGTTAGGGTTCAAGGTTTCCACCTTCTATGGGCGCAGAGGTTTATGTGTTCTATCCATGGTGTTAAGGGAGAAAGACACTTCTGTTTTGCAATGGAGCTTATTTTGTTATAAGGACATCATTGTATAAATTATATGCTGTATATGTTCATTTGATCTTATGGACTGAACATAGGAACCTGATTTTATTTAATTTTTGCATGGAATTTCTGTGTTTTCTTTTCGTTTCCACAATCAAGACATCATATTAAAATTATTTCGTAGAAGACAGATAAACAGATGAGACTAATATTATGCATGATTCAGCAATGCCAGCATGCTATCTTTCAATGTTCTAATTGTCCTAAAAAAATTCGATTAGCCTTTAGAAGCACATATGATGAATTATATTTTGCATCAACTATCAAGTAAAGTGTCAAAAAAATTCCTTGACTATCTACATGGGGTTACTTCAGTCACATAATATATAAATTGCCAAATTAGTTTCCAGACTCTTTTAATATGGGCTGAAACAGTCCCAAAAAGGACTATTTTAGCTTCCATGAAAGAGTTTGGGACCAAATTGACTCTTTATAGACTTTGAGATTAAATTAGACCTCTAAAAAGAGTCAAGGGACCATTTTGACATTTTTCTCATTTAGTATCGTATTGGATTGGTTTAAGTTGCTTATATCTTTATAGCATCCATTGCAAAATTTATCTCATCACATCTGCATTTATCCTATTGAATACAGCGTTTAGTAGACATTTTATAGATCTTATTTGATTGGATGCCATGGAAAAAATTCAATGGTTCTTTGGTTTTCTATTATAATGCTAATGTTGTAATTCTGAAAACAATATTAGTTCTATTCAGATTGTTGTTTATCTGCAGAATAATTTCACTTATTATTTCTAACCAATGTGTTTTATTTCTTTCTTTTTGTATTCTATTTTAGACTTTATGCATGTTAAATAGACATGCATTTTTTATTTTGATAACATTTTTTTTCTGAAAAATCAAACACTCGTGACATGGAATTTAATGATCAGCATCTTTATTGAGGTTTGTAATCTTTAATATATACAATAAGACCTATTAGGTGAATTAATAAGTTATTTGGTGGCTTATAAGTAGGAAAATTTTTTGAAACATCTGTTGAATCTTTTGCATTCCTTCGAATCCTCATAATACATATTTTAGACCCCTTAGACGTTTCATAGGGTGATCTTTATTATTTTATGTCACGCTTTTTCTTTCATGTTCTTATATGTAAATTATATGACTGATTTTTTACCAATCCCTGAATTGGTTTTTTCATGCATACTGTGAAAGAGCGTTTTTTTTTTTATTTTTTAAATCAGCTTAGGCGAAATTTCGCTATTTCATTGAGATTTTCTCCGCGTCTTATATATTTTCTCAGTCGGTATGCTATGTTGGTATCCTTAGATGAAAGCTTATCTGACAAACATGTTGGAATCTCTTTCAAATAGGGTATTTTTATTGGGTCTGTCATAATTCACATTCAGGATCGCGACAAAGCGGAGACTTTTTATAGCAGAATTCAAGGGGTAGTGCAAGATTGATGAAATTGCTGCTTACTTTAACTCTATAACCAAATTTACAAAATGATATCAGACCAATCCTTCTTAGTGGTCTTTGGTACAAGCTTGAGGTTAGTTTCTGAGGTTATCTTTTGAGATGCTCATTTAGTACCATCTGTCGAAAGTGTGCCCCCCTTCGCAGATTTTTTTTCTCTCTTATGGAAGATATTTTTTGGAAAATTTACATACAGATCACTCAATTCTTATGAATTTACATATGCAACACTTAAGCTTCACTTTTTACATGCATGCCACCCTACCTATGCATGAAAATGTGTATTTCACTTCTAGAAGTTAAAATAGTGGTATTTTTTATGTGATATGAAAGACTTGGGTGGTATAAATGTAAGAGGTAATGTTTAAGTGTTACATATATAAATAAATAGGAATTGGGTGGTATATATGTAAATGCCCCTATTTTTTTTGGTTTTGACAGTGTGCATTGAGATATCACATTAATTGCATATTTTTCTCCCTGTACTCAATTTGCTTGGTGCGGCGTGCATGTATTGTTTATTTTTGTTGTTATTAAGATGTTTATATAGCAAAATAGGTTGATTTTAGCTAATTAGGTAAACATAAGTTTGTATTGGTTTTAGGGGCATTTACATGCATACTGCCTAATTCCTATGTATTTACATATCTAACTCCTAAACTTTACTATTTACTTTTATACCACACAATTCTTTCATATTACATAAGAAAATGCCACTATATTAACTTCTAAAAACTGAAATACACCTTGTCATGCATAGGTAAGGTGACATACATGTAAAAGTTGAAGTTTAGGTGCTAGATATGTAAAAGCATAGGAATTGAGTTGTATATATGTAAATCATCCTTGGTTTTATTAGTCTATTTATAGCTTGTATATGTTTTTGGTATCTGTTATAGACTTAAACCCATTTTAGTAACGCAGGAGGAACTGCCAAACATCTATGTAGTTGGGAACTAATTACCATGAGCTTAAGCTTTCTTTCATTCCTATTTGTTTCTGAACTAGAGTAGCTTCCTTGAATTATTGAAAATTTTTTGTTGTTTCAATTGGCTTATCCTGGCAGTTCCTATGGTGCATGAAATGATTCTTTATCAACAACAACAAACCCTTACCCCACTAAGTGGCATGAATTATTTTCTCCAATGTGTCTTATTGAGTGTCTTATTTTCTTTTACTTCTAATAAATTAAGATCATTTTTTATACAATATGCCCAAGTCTTTTTAGATCTACCTTTATTTTTCTTAACACAAGTCAAATCTAAAAACATCTACTCTCCTAAACGAATCATCAGATGGTCGACATTTAATGTGACCAAACCATCTGCAATGAATCTCTAATCTTGTCTGCTATTGAAGCTACGCCAACACTTTCACGGATATATTAGTTTCACATTTTGTCTTTATGTGTCAAGCCACTCATCCACGTAAGCATTCTCATCTCTGCAGCACTTAACTTAGATTTATGCTTCTTTTTTAAAGACAAACATTTTGTGTCATATAGCATTGCAGGTCTCGCCACCATCTTATAAAATCTTCCTTTAAGTATAAGCAATAATTTTCTATCACACAATAGCCCGATACATTCCTCCACTTCAACCGACCAACTTGAATTATACTAATAACATCCCCTTCTATATTACCATCACTTTGAACAATAGACCCGAGTTATCTAAAACGTTCAAACCTTTTAATGATTTGATCACTTATTGTTACAATTGTACCACTAGATCTACTCTACTAAAATTATATTTCATGTATTCAGTTTTAGATCTATTAAAACGAAGGTCTTACACTCTTATACAGACCTCTATAATTCAAGTTTTTTTCTGAACTATTTCTCTAGTCTTATCCACAAGAAAGATAGCATCAGCGAAATACATACATGAAGGTACATCCTGTTGTAAGTGTCCAGTAAGAGTATCCATAACTAAAGCAAAGATATAGACTTAAAACCAATCCCTGATGCAATCCAATTAAAATAATACATGAAGGTACATCCTGTTGTAAGTGTCCAATAAGAGCATCCATAACTAAAGCAAAGATATAGGCTTAAAACCAATCCCTGATGCAATCCAATTAAAATAGAAATACTTGGTCAATCCTCCTTTTGTTCGAGCACAAGTAACAGCTCTAGTATACATATCTTTAATCATATCAACGCCTTTCTTTTCTAGAACTCTACTTCTCTTGGAACTTTATTGCAAGCTTTTTCTAAATCTGTAAAAGTCATGTAAAGATCCTCCTTACTCTCTCTATACTTCTCCATCAATCCTCTCAATAAATGTATAGCTTCCATAGTAAACTAGTCTGACATAAATCCAAACTGAATATGAGAAATCTTTTTATCACTTGTTAACCTATGTTCAATTACTCTCCCATAATTGTAATTTGTGACACATTAATTTAGTTTCTCTATGATTTGCTCACTCTTGTACATCCCATTTATTTTTAAAAATGGGGACCAAAATACTCTTCCTCCAC